CATTTTCAATCATACATTCTTCAATAAAATAATATTTTCCATCACATCAATAATTTTTTCTTCTTTTTCAACCACACATTTCCCATCATATCACTATTCAAAAATCAATTCTTCCCCCAAAAATCTCTATCAAATAAGCACTTATTAAAAATATATGATGAGAAAGAATAAAGAAAAATATATTTTCAAAATAATAGAGCAAGCAAAGGCTAAATATATAGACATCTTGGCTTGTCGCCTGCTAAGAAGAGCCCTAGAGTAGGTGGCGTGGGGCTAATAAAATGCCATTTCTTCTATTTATTATTAAAAAAAGGTACAACTATACTCTGGATCATATTAAAATCAGATTTTTAACGAATTTTAATAAAAAATGATAATATATGATTAACAATTGTGGAACTTATAAAATATTCGATTAAAAATAATTGCTACTTTAATTAAAATTAAAATTTAGACTTTAATTTCTAAAAAAAAGGGCACTAGTAAAATGTTGATTTCTTTGCCTAATTTGAACGGTTCCGATTCACGAGGATCCGTGCGACCATGTTGGTTTGTGTGTTTATATTGAATAATGTTCTGTAATAAAATCATAAATTTATTAAGTTTTTCTCATTTATTGTTGTTGTATTTATTTAGCCTTAGCCCCATTTTTTTAAAATTCATTTTCGACCTCGCATTTTTCCATAAAATAATTATACACATTTCAATTTTTTTTTACCACATATTTTCCAGAAACCACTATTATATAATGCATTTTACCCCAAAAAGGGGATGAAGCACATGCTTAATATGGATCATGTGAGATATGTGTCAATGATCGCTCGTGTTAATATAAATTGGGTGCATGAGTTGAAAAGCAGTGTGTGACCACTTATATTTTGATTTGTAAAATTATTCACAACTAATGTACGAAGGTTCGCTATTTTGCTGATTTGCCCTTATTTTATAACAGTTTAGTAGTGACACTAGTACACTTGAAATGTATTCAATGGATCATGTGTCGGATTTAATTTTATAGCATGACCTTGTATAGAATGAAATTATGCTTGATCACCGGATATTTCGTCTAAATCTCTTTAGGGTTTGTATGTATATTTTGTGAGTTTAATCATTATTTGTTACCTATGAATGAGATTAATTTGATTGATCAAATATCTCATCAATTTGAAAGTTTGAGAACGAGCAAAGTATAAAGCGGGAGTTCATGCCAATAATTGTCACCCTGAAAAATGGGTCAAGTGACTATTTAAGTATTTTATAGTTGAACAATTAATAAATTTGAGTTTAGTGTTTATCAACAACTAAACTTCGACTTATGTATTCGACTATGTTAATTGGTTAGCAGGGATGTTGAAAAAGATGTAACTTAAGTTAGTGAGAATAATTAGATGGATAAAATAGTTATTTTTGCACCTAATTACCAAATCAGACGGGAAAGAAGCATACGCATGGTAGTTTATAGAAAAATAGTTGCCAATATATTTTAACTTACGCGATTTATATATTTTGAAAGTGCAATCGTTTGTCTCCAATGAAAAATAAGAATTAAGTAAAATGTATATTCTTGCTGACAACAAGGGTGACATCATTCCCTATATGAAGTTGAAAATCAGGAGCGTAGATCTTGTCATTTGGAAGAGTATAAAAGAAAGTGTAAAAAAGAGTGTACACTAAACAATATCTAATTATTGAAGTTTAAAAATATGTGAACATATCCCC